ACAGACTATCTGAACTGGAGGGCAGACTTGTAATATGGGAGAATGAAATGAAAAACTTCTTAAAAATAACAAAGAAACAAACAGCAATAATACAAAGACAAGAAGATGATAAGAGGATCCATAACTTAAGGATTAAGAACATAAAAGAAGAAGTAGGGACGCAAACAAGTGAACTACAAAAGCTACTCACAGAAATAATCCAGGAGAATTTTCCTAATTTAGCAAAAGGTAAAGATACTCAGATGTATGAGGCATACAGGACCCCAGCTACCTACAACCCAAACAGAGCAACACCCAGGCATATAATAATAAAAATTCCAGAAATTCAATATAAGAACAGAATATTAAAAGCTGTCAGAGACAAGAAACAGACCACTTACAAGGGAACACCCATCAGAATTACAGCAGATTTCTCGGCACAAACCATCAAATCACGAAGAGCGTGGGGGGAAATAATTCAAGCTTTGAAAGATAATAATCTCCAGCCAAGATTGAGATATCCTGCACAACTGTCCCTGGAAATTGATGGAAAAACAAGGTGCTTCCAGGATAAAGAGGAACTGGGGGAATTTGCAACCACCAATTCAACTCTACAGAGAGTATTGCAGGATATTCTAAAAAAAGAAAAATACAAAGAATCCAGAAATAATGGCAGAGAGGCCACAACAAATGGAGCAGAGAACAAAATGAAGAAGACAAACTGACAGCTACTGACAGAAAAAGAGCTCAACAGAAATGAGACAGAGAAGATTGGATGATAGGAACAGCTATTTTGGAGAAAATGACATCTTAATAGGTAATACTGATTTAGTATCATCTTGTTTTGAAGTCTCATCTAGCTTTTGTCCTTCTGTCTCCAATGGTCTAAATAGGTTGTATCTTACTGGATTTTATTATGTACGATAGTATAAGCAAAAACCTTGTAAAGACAAGGAGATTATACAGAAACCATTGTTCATTTTCTGTTAGTCGATTCTAAATACTCTGTAATGCTGTCATTCTCTTGAATGGTTTTACATTGTTTTGATATACTTAATGCTACAGTATACGAAGTTGTACTCAAGGATTTCAAAGAAAGAGACAATATGGTAACTACTTTTAGGTTAGGATTATCTGGTGGTGAAACACTATTCTGCTTAAATGGTTATGTTTTGATCTGCGCTGTTTCATTGTTATGCCCTCTTTTATCTCAGTCTCCACTCCATTATTTACTTTTTTATCTTTATCCTTTTAATTAAAGGAAAAAAATAGCAGGATATATTATAGTAACCCACTTTGACTTTTCATTACCTTGATTTAAAGCTCTGTATTACTCTCACCATCTGGTTTTTAACTGATGTTCCCCTATTCTGTTTTGCTGGATAGTATCAGGTTCGAAAGTTTAGGCATCAGCTGTGAAGATAATGAGATTCATTATGACGCCCATTTTTGTTGACTTTTATCTACTTTTGAAGACCTACAATGTCTCCAATGTTTTGGTTTTGTCGGTTTTATTCTTTACTGTTTTGTTCAATTGTATTATAACTAACGATATAGGCAATTCTATTAGAGATAGCGGGAGGCATTATGGTAACCATTGTTGATCACCTTGTATTATGTTTTTACATTATCTATTATGTCCACCCTTTTGAATTGACTGATTCTGTTCTGTTATATCACATTTGGTTTTACTCTCTTCCAAAAAAGTAATAAGAACCGTGGGAGCAATGAAACCCAAAATGTGTAATAGTCATGGTACAAAAGAGAGGAAAAGAAAGTGCTCTAAACTATATAACTGCATGTATATTTAAGTGTATAAGATAGAAAATGATATCACAGAGTTTTATTGGATCAATGAACAGAACTGTTTGCAGTATCATTGATGGAATGTCCACTTTACAAGCTTTAATTTTGTGACTTGAACAATTATTTCTAAGATGACAATATGTAATCCATTAACTAGTGATTTCCTACTGTTCATTTTTTTTCTGTAAATCTGTATAACTTGTACCCTTTCCCTGCTTTTTTTTTCTTTTCTCCTTAAATAAAATTTAAAAAAAAAAAAAAAAAAAAAGAATCAAGGCACAGAGAAGATCAAAATGCCACAAAAGGTAACTATCACATACCTTAGCTTCTGTGTTGCTTTTTTGTTAGGTACAGGCAACTCTGTTATTTATAATTTTAAACCCACTATAGAGAACAATATTTTCTCCCCTTTTTTTGTTTTTTTTTTTTGTTTGTTTGTTTGTTTCTTGTTTTGAGACAGGGCAGGGCTGGCCTCACACTTGGGATGGACCTGCCCCATCTCAACACAAATAAGAGCCTGGATAGAAGCACGTCCAGCATGTTTAAGTATGTGCCTCTTTTTTCCTTATCACTGGGGACTGAACTCAGCACCTTCATGCTGAGCTACTTTCCCAGTCATTTTAAAACTTGTCCCAGTTCCACTGAATCACTGGGTCACCTGCTGGGCTCGGACTTCTGACCCTGCCTCAGCCTCCCAGAGTGCTGGGGTTACAGGCCCAGAGCCAGCAGGCCTAGCTACTACCTTAAGGTTAGGTATCTCAGGAAAATTAGTAAAACAAAATGAAACTTGGTTACTTTAAGAGGAAAAGAAAAATTGTTAAAAGGAAACAATTCACCAGAGAAAAGAAAGTAGTGAGTTTATAAATGAACATAAAACTGTTAACCAGATTAATGCACGTGCATTATTTTAAAGGGACAGCATCAATTAAGTATTCTATGAACTGAAATCCCTTCCAGTTCTCAGACGAGATATGTACATATGCACGTATATGTACATATATTCAAATATTAATTAAAAAGGCAAGTATTAAATAATGGCCTAAATTTTTTCCAGAAAATACAAAGAAAATAATTTGGAATAAACTGTCTTACCAAAAGAAAAAAGCTTTAATTTTATTAAAAGTTACTCTAGAATATTTTTTGTGTTCTAGGCAGTACACTTAGTAGCCATAAAAAAAATGGCAATATAAAATCATCAAATATTTCTAAAGAATTTTGATTCAGTGAACTAAATCCCCTAAAACCTGACCTGACAATGCCTTTTTAGGTTATCAGAAACCACACCTAAAGCACCGTGCACATGTGCACACAGGCTTTCCTTTCATATGACCTGAATAGTAGACAAAAATGAGCAAATGAGAAGCAGGTAATGAAAACAGGGTTTTATTTTCATGTAACCGTACAGACATAAAAGCCAAAGTCAAACAAGCAGTAGAATCTCTTAAAGGGCACTCATTCTAATCAAACAGCAGAGAGACTCTGAGACACACAGATACGCTGCAATTCTGGGACAATGAGACAGACTTATCTCCAAATTAGAGAGCTACAAAATCCTTCCAAGGTGGAGAACTTTAAGGGGGTATCACATTTGCTACGCATGCCTTCTGATGACACAATGACGAGAATGCACCAGTAGTGGAAGCCAAGGACACATTTCTCAACATCTTTTTAAAAAGTGGACCCAGAATCTATAAATTTTCACAAGAAAAAGTCCCTAGAAAAAGTGATTCTATTACTGTTTACCTAAGAATTATTCTTCCTGTTTTAGCCAAAGGACTTCTGGATGCTCACTCCAAACTAGAGCCAAGAACCAGATGTGTGGCACACGCCTGAAATCTTAGCACTTGAGAGTCTAAGGCAGGAGATCATAAGTTCAAACCCAACGTGGCACAACTGAGCAATACCATGTCTCAAAATAATAATTTTTTTAAAAGGCCCAAGGATATAACTCAGTGAGGACTTGCATTCAATCCTCCCCGCAAAAGGCGTATCTGAAGTTGAAGTACTGTGACTATTGCACCCAACCTCATTTCACATGCTTCTATTTACAGTATATGGGCGTTAACATCTGCTCTTCTTTTAATCACATGTGTGCCAGGTCAACATGCACTTATGTTTATGTCTTGTCTATTCAGAATTTGAAAGAAACACAAGTCTGTATCAGGTCTATAAAATCGAGGGCTATGTTCATTCTTTTTTCTAGCACAGTAGAAAAGGGTCTGCAGTCTAATCCCAGTAGGAGGGGCACTCTCCAGCAGCCCTGGGTCACATGACTGACTGCACACACTGCTAATGCAGCTCCCTACCATTCTGCAGACACAGAAGAGAGCACAGACTCTAACTAAGCCTTTCTCACTAACAACAGCGAAATAAACGACACACATATTTAAATCATGAAGTCTTTTCAAACAAAAAGGGTGACATATTAAAGAAATGTATGGATTTCAAGCTAATTCATATTATTTCACACCAAAGACACAAAATGCACATGGAAAAAACATAACTTCAATAAACTGTTGCTCTTCAAATATTAATACAGTCAATATAAAAAACTGAAAGATTTATTAGGAAAAACAGTCCTCTACCTCCACACTGCTCGATTGGTAATAAGAAAAATATAAAATCTTTTGATTTCCATCAACAAGAAGAAGGGGTTTTCAACTCAGAACTGGTTACTATACATGGAGCTTCATTAAATCCAAGTGCAGAGGCCAGGATGCAGCTCAATGGTAGAGCATTTGTTCAGCATGCATGAGACCCTGGGTTCAATTCCCCAGCAGTGCCAAAAGAGACAAAAACGAGAGCAAAATTAAATACTATATAATGAGGGGGGAAATCACTCACAAAGAAAGGACTAGCCAGGTGAGGTGGCACACACTCCTAATCCCAGCACTAAGGAGGTGAGGCAGAAGGATGACGGCAAGAACAGGCTACATAACAAACTCAAAACCAGCCTCAACTACATAGCAGACCTTATTTTAAATTGATTTTAAATAAATAAAAGAAACTTATTCTCATCATAATTTTCCAAATCACACACAAAGCAATACACTGAAATTAATATTCTAAGACTACACCTAAGTCTTTAGTGATTTAAAACAGTAACAAAGAAAACACCCTCTAAATTTGTAAAAACAAACCCCACTTTAAAATCACCACAATTGGCACAACCTACTTCTTACATATAAAACACAGTAAAATAATTGTAAACTTACCAAGTTCTTCTTCTTCGTCATTAGATATTATATTATATAGTGTGTCCAAAGCATAACCTATTATTTCAGAATCCGAACTGGAAAAAAGAAATTATTATACACTGCAAATTAGAGTGTGAAGTGTACAACCATATTTAGACAGTTACTTAGCAGACCATATAAAACATTAATTCCATTTCCAAACACTTTCTCTAAGAACGTATCAGCATGCAAACCAGAGAGTATCTAACAATTTAGAATTGTAAAACTTTATAATTAACCTGAATAAAAAACAATATGGCAAAAAAACAAAATTTTAAAAAATGGTAAAAAAATATATATATACATACCCACGCACACGTATACATGTATATGTCAAGAACTAAAGACTGTATTTTCAAAGACTATTTAATGGTATGGTAATTAAAATACTTTAATATAGTTGGGTGATATAGGTGAGATTACACACCTGTAATCTCAGCACTGGGCAGGGGGCTAATTAGGCAGGATCCCCACAAGCTGAAGCCAGCTGACTGCACACTGAGCCCAGGAGCCAGTCTGAACTACACAGTGAGACCTTATCTCAAATAACAAACAAAAGCCCTGAGACAATACCACGTAGTGAAAAAACAAACAAAAAAATACATGAATCCAAAAATTAATGGACCAAATAATTCCATTTAACAAAATGTGTGTATAACTGTGTCTATGTGTAGCTTTAAAACATAAATTTACAAAGGCTTAAAACCAGAAAAATATACATAAAATTAACCAAATAATATATGTGTGAGACACACACTTATTATCTACAGTTGGACTGCCCTTCTCTATACTTTGTGTTCTTTAAAAAAACTTATGGCAAATATGTACAATTTATAATATCAAGAAATGTAACATTCTGCAGTTGCTGCCAAATTGACAAACTCTGAAAACTTGCAGGATGATGGTGTCATTCATAGTAGCAAGAGTAAAACACAGGTCCCAAAGAGTCAGTGGAAAGCTGACAGACCAAAGAGGGTCACAGCTGAAGGACTGATCACCAAATGAAATCAGCTTTTACACAAATTTACATTGTTCGGTTCTGAGGAATTGTGAAAGGTACCTTTTAAGAGACAACTGAGAAAATAGAAACAGGAGAATACACCCTCCGTACCTGTAAAAATTTCACAGTTCAGGGTGGGAGGAAGCTCAGAGGAGAGTGTGCACTTAGCATGGGTGAGGCCCTGGTCAGAGCCCCAGCATCGTGTGCACAAGCACATATGCAGACCCCAGATCCCACCACAACATGGCCATACTGAAGGGCCTCCCTCCCACATCAGGGCTACAACAGCAAGGCCCTCTCCTGCCACCTCATGAAGGGAAGTTCCAGGCAGAACAATACACAGTACACTAAATAGAAGGCATAAACACTGGACAGGAAACAGTACACTGCATGTTTACAGATGACATCTCATACAGAGAAAATCTTAAAGATCCCTGAACTGCTAGACTAGTGCACTAAACAGCTTTAGGAGGTAAAAATGACCAGGCAAAATACAGCCTTCTAGGACCTTGAACTGAGATACCTAGAAAACAAGAACTTGAAGGCAAGAAGCAGCAGATCTCCAGGAATCAGGAGGGAATGGGCTGAGACCATGGATATCACAGAGAGGACAGAGGAGCAAAGCATGTGGAGAGGACAGGATGAAGCAGCCAGGGAAGCACAGCCCAGCGCCTGGGCCAAGGCCCTGTCTCAGGAGCAAGCAGTGAGCCAAACCCCAGGAGAGCCACAGGGGCTTCCATAAGTCCACAGAGTCAGGGTGGACTGCGTCACAGTGTGGGGTTCTGTCTCCTTGGAAAGCGAAGCCCCCATGGCAGGCCAGTGCCGAGAGACACTGCCTGCAGCATCCGCCATATCTGCAGCTTTTCATCAGGAGCCATTAGGGAAGGGTTCATTATTTAGAACTAAGCTACCTGACACAGACCAATTTCCCCTAAGGGTGTCCAGGGTTACTTGCCCAGTGACTAGGCGGAAGGTGGCCTTAAAACACAGTTACAAAGAGGGTAGGTGTCATGGATTAAGAATTGATGGTCAATTTAACGCCAGAGAAATTAAATCACCATGGTGCTGAGCATAAATGTTGCACCTGAGGAAAGTTGCCAGCATAAATAGAGGTGTGAAGCAGAAGCTAGGCATTGTGGGTTCTCCTGTGTGTTGCTGTTTGAGCCGTTGGTTCTCCTGGAGGAGCTCGTCATGACTAGCTTCCCCAGTGTGAGTTCGACCATTGTCATTGGAGGAGCTCAGGACCTTTTTGGTGAGAGTGGCTGTGGTTCACTTTTGGGGGAGCTCTGGTCCTTACATCCAGCATTGTTTCCTGGCTCTGGAGGGGAAGATGTGTGCCATTTAATCTCCAGGACAACTCATTATGCTGGCTTTCTGGCAGGTACTCGACTGTGCTTATCATCAGAGGAGCTTAGGGCCTCTGTGTCACTGAGGATGGCTGTGGTGCTTTTCAGGACAGCCCTGGTCTTTATTATGAGTGTGACTTCTTGGCTCCAGCGTAGAACCCTCAATCTACCAGCACAGCTCCTTCACCCCACTGGCATAGACTTTCTGGCTTCCACTGCTGACCTTTGGGCCTTCCCAGCACAGATCTGTAGAAGAGCCTGCATGAGTCCTTCTTGTGGGCTCTAGATCTCCAGCTGGATTCATGGGAGGTATTGTCATGAGCTGTGGGTCTTCATCTGGACTCATGCAGGACATTGCTGTGGGATTCAGGCCCTTGGCAGAATATTCTATGTCTTTGATGTTATGGACAGATTTCCTGCACTTTCTTGTGTTAATTCTGGGTAACCATCATAAAATAATACTATAAAATTCCATGTCCTGATTCTAATTGTTCTCACAATCCCTGACTACAGTGGGTGTCAGACACAGGACCCCCCCCCACCAAGACCAGAAAGGATATGGGACCCTAGTGTGTGTTTCAGTGGGGGCTGGGTCTTGAAGTGCTGGTGTTAAGTCCAACAGACTGCTTTACTACCCTGCCCGGCTGCCCACATCCTGCAGAGAGCTTGGCAGTCTATTTGCTTTTTCCATGTGCCACTGTGCCAGTATCTGGTTTGTTTCTGTGTCATCAACAATACCATGGTTCATTTCCGAAGAACTGAAAGTTGGATCAATTATAACTGTACCTTTCCCTTCCCGAACTAATGAAGCGGATCAGGTACTGCGGAGGCAAATCTACAGTTAGCCAAACCTGGAGTACAGATACGAATTATAGACATCTCCACACTAGCAACAAAATCCTGCTATAATCAACCCGCAACCCTCACTCTGCATACACACCCTACAAAAACCCAACAGAAACATGAGCAAAAAGGCAACAAGATCTTACAAGAACTACCAAAGACGATACAAAATGTGACTCACCAATTTAGCAAATAATTAAGAGTCCATGAAAAGGTATCAAGCAGAAGACTAAAACATTCCTCTGCAAGTACAGAAGTGACTGCTGTGGGGACAGTGTCAGAAAGAAGGCAGGGCTGATGCAGGTGACGATACACTCAGAGAGAATAAACAAGACAGAAAACAGCCCCAAGAGCTGCCAGACAATGCAAAGACAAATTCTATATGAACCGGAATCAGTGAAAAATCAGAAGGCCTTTGTGACTGCCACTAAAAAGACCTGTTTACAAAAATAATAACAGAAAACTTCCCGAACAAGGGCAAAGAATAAACATACTGATAAATGAGGCATACTGAACCCCAAGTACTCACAATCAGAAAAAAACTTTTCCACAACACATAATAGGCAAGGTCCCAGAAGTCCAACATAAGGAAAGAGTCTTAAAGGCTATTAGAGAAAAGAACAAATTACTTATAAAGGCAAACCCTACAGCAGATGTCTCAACACAAACTTCAAAGGCCAAGGAAATATGGAGGGAAGTGCTTCAAACCGTAATAGATCACTGCAAATTTGAAACAGGCCTGGGCTACAAAGTGAGCCCAAGGCCAGCCTGAACTGCATAGCAAGACCCTGTCTAAAAAAAAAAGGACCCTATGGAAAAGTAAAAAGACAATCCACAAAATTAAAGGAAACATTCACAAATAATAAATCTGAAAAGGGCCTTATATCCAGAATATGTAAGGAAGTACTATGATTCAACAATAAAAGATAAAATAAAGTGCTTTTTTGGGCAAAGAAAGGGCTGGGGTTTAGCTCAGTGGCATAAGCAACTGCCTTGCAAGCATGCAGTCATGAGTTTGATCCCCGGTACCAAAAAAAAAAAAAAAAGTAAAAGTGGGTAAAGAATTTGAATAGACTTTTCCAGTAAAAAGATATACAACGCGAGGTGTGGTGGTTCACACTGCAATCCTGGGAAGCTGAGACTGCACTCTGGGAAGCTGAGACAGGAGGGTCACAAATTCAAGCCCAAGTTAGGCAACTTAGTCACTAAGTGAAGCCCCATTTTGAAAAATAAAATAAAATAACTGAAGATGTGGCTTAGTACAAAGGTCCTGATGTTCCAGTCCTAGTTTTTTATATATATATAAAATGGCCAATATACATATGAGAGAGATTCAAAATCATTAATGATTAGGAAAATGCACATTAAAACCAGTCAGAAAACTAAACAAAATTAAGAAGTACTATTTACAGCCCCTAGGCTGCCTGTACCTCTCAATACTGCTGGCAGTAACATAAAATGCTTTCGCCCTGTGAAAATTTGGCAAATGTTCAAAAAGTTAAACAGGATTATCCACATGACCTGAAAACTCAACCCACAACAACATACCCAAGAGAACTGAAAATGCGTGTTCTTAGAAAATCAGTGCAAATGCTTACCATATTACTCATAATAGCCTTGAATGGAAGTATTAAGTGTTTTATCAATTAATGAGTGGAAAAACAAAACCATACCCATAGAATCAAGTATTATTCAGTCAAAAGAACAGAAGGCTGATACATGCTACTACATGGACAAATCTTCAAATAGTAGGTAAAGCAAAAGAAGCCAGACACAAAGGCCACATGAGGTGTGAGTCCACTGACATGAAGCACCCAAGATAGCCAGAGGCACACAGTGAGAGAGCAGAGCTCAGGGCCAATTCTGG